TTGTGGTGGCGCTTGTGATGATTGTGGCGATCTGCAGCAGCTGTGGCACAGAATCTGCTCCGCTTTAGCCTACCCCCGTATTTGGTATCTTTTTAATCTGCACACAAAGCTTTCCATATTAGTAATGGTCATGTAGCACAAATAATTAGGCACTACAAACAAAAACTGCCGAACGTTCACAACGAGTCAATTGAACTATTTATTCCGTCTTATCCTCTGTATGTGAGGAAGAATGTGCGCTGTGCTGTCAGGCTGCGGAGGTTCACTCCTTTGAATTCAATAGATCTCATATTAAATCGTTGGTTGTAGGCCTAATTGAAACGACAATTCCACAGTATACAATATACTAACTAATACAACAATACACCCTGCATCTCCATTCATAATCGAATTCCCTATTACCTCGACATTCAATAACACACTATATACTTATTCCACCCTACCTTGGACAAACAACTCTCTCGAATACCGCCTTATTCCGACAAAATGTCCACTCCTATCCGACCAATATCGGATATATACACTGACGGACGTATAAAAAAACATCCCTCCCTTTCAAAGCAAAAGCCATCACTTCCCCCGCGTACACAAAAAGTCCGAGCCGTAATCGAAGAAAATGACCAACGACCTTCCGTAGCCTCACCGCCAGCTCTTCCTCCACGTGAAACAAAGACAGCCGCCGACTTTTATAACTCTTCAGCCAAGTCGAAAAGTGATTTAACAGAGAAAAAGAAAAAGAGAACGTCATTGTTTCGAATATCGATGGCATTCATGAATCGTGACGGTTCTCAGAAGAACGACTCCGACGAAAAGGATGTCAATGTTTTATCATCCTCAACGCCGCCTCCAGCATTACCACCACGACCATCCGTACCTCGCAGTCTGCAAAAATACAAACGTTGGAATCGACTCAGTTCCGTCTCCCCTGCCGACAAAGCACTTCCTAGTCTTCCTCCTCCCATAATCCTTGGGAAAGGCAGTGATAAGTTTTACAGAAAATTCGACATATTGTTCGCCAAAAAGTTTCCCAAAGTATACATATACCGTCATGCTTTGTATGTTGGTTTTGGACTGTTTTTACTCGGTCTTTTGGTGATCATTATTTGTGCTGGAGCAGGATTATTTGCACAAGATCACGGAGGTAAAGGAGCCAACAGTAGTGGAAATGGCGATGTGGGAACCGGTGGACTAGGATTGAGTGGTTCTGGGGACGGTACTTATTATGGTGAGTTTGTCATGAATGTTTACGAGAGTGGTCATGTTGATAGCCAATTGACAAATGACGAGTAGGTAGTAAGTGGTATTTTCTTGTCGATGTTGCGCTGATGATGTAATTCATTCTAGATCCTGGAATTGGCACGGGTTCGTGCGGAACTTTGCATACGGGCGACGAGTTGGTAGCCGCTTTGGTATGTATTTGTATTATAAAATGTAAATTCACGGGCTGGTATTTCATAATTAAAATCTTACATGTTGTGCTCGCTAGAATGCTCCCCAATATGGTACCTTTGCTAATCCGAACGACTCACCAGTCTGCGGTAAATGTGTTGAGGTCACTGGACCCAAGGGGACTGTTAAAGTAAAAATAGTGGACAAGGTACGTTAGCACTAATGGTGTGATGTTTGATTTGGCAACAATAATTATAATCTTTACATTCGTAATGTTAACAGTGCCCCGTATGTAAGAATGGCGATATTGACTTATCCCCTGCTGCATTTGATGTAAGTTCAAGAGCTCGCTATATTTGAGGGTGCTTGTATATTAATGCTTATGATACCATGTCGATGCTATTATTTCCTTACAATTTGATACTATCTTTTTTTTCCCTAGAAAATTGCCGATGAGGCCGTTGGTCGTGTTCCGGTTACATGGAAAGGCTGTTAATTAATCGTTCTTAATATTTGCATTTTAATTTATCTTTTTCTACTTCGTTTCTACTCTTGTAGCCGAAGCTAGATCATCATTTTTGGAATTGTCTCTTGCTGGACGAGGGTGTATCTTTTGTTCATTATCAAGAAAGTGTTCATTATATGTACTATCGCAAATAATTGTATCAATACATTAATGTTTGATAATTATCTAATAAATGAAACTAGATTCGAGTACAATGTGACGCCGTTATTAACATCAAGTTAAACAAAGTCACTGCTTGTGCTTGACTATGCTATAGCGAGTTTTGACTTTTTCCCCTCGTGTTCTAATGGTTTAGGAGACAAGTTTTTGAAAAACCGATACTGCGAAAAACCGATAACACCCAAAACCGATACTTTTTTCAATTCGTATATAATAAATTCCTCGTAAAACCGATAATAATAATGCATATAAGACATACCCGATAAACTCGATATTTTATAAGGTAGTACAAATTAACAATACACGTATTATTAGTATATTAGACCACGTCGCGCAGTACATCTTTCCACTATGAATACTGACGAACGCCTTGTAAAACTGAAACAACGATATGAATCCGGCCTTATAACAGAAGAAGTTTATGGGCAACAGCAGCTCAAAATCCTCGAAGAAGAGGATAGAGGTAACGACTTTGTGATTCGGGCGTTGGGGACATAGAGTAACGTGTACATAGGGTAGAGTAGACGTAGTGGTAAGCGATGCATCAAATCCATCCTTCCTTCCTTCGTCTGTTGTTACATACATTCATCAATGAACCATCTCCTCTCTTCGCTGCCATGGTCTCTTGCACTCATTTCCACCACTCACTCTTTTTTTAATCCCAGTTTCTCCAAGGAAAATAATACTGGCAAATGATAAGATCGAGGAGACACTGACGAAAATTATCAACAGCATAAACCACCAGCCGCATACGATAAAAATGGAGGAAGTCGAAGAATTTCAAAGGGGAAAGCTGGGGTGCTTTTACAAAAAACTTCTACCACCTGGCACAACTGCAACTAGGCTGTATCTGCCAATGCTGGGACAAGTGCTACCTGATACGCAGCCAACAACGGGTGGGAAAAAGAGAACATTCTCTGAAATCATTCAGAGCGACATCACTGAGACAAGCAGTCATCACATAGTGGCAATGGTTGCTCGGTCGGGCTCGGGGAAGACTGCAACGGTGATTCATCTGGCAAAGAAGCACTTTGTTATCTACGTCGTTTGCGAGGCCGTAAACACCTACTACTACAGTCCCGACTTCAGTGACAGAAACTTTCGCATCCTTGCACGTGACATTGAAAATATGTGTTCCAGACTTCCAAAACCAGTTCAAGTTGATGAGAATAGGCAGAAATACATGGATGACCTAAGAAGTTATGACAATCAGCTAAAGAACCTTGCAAGTGAATGCGTCCAGCTGGAATTCTTGGCACGTCAGCTGTTCCTGGAGCTGCTTTTCAGAAAAAATCCTCAAGTCACACCAGAGGCATTCTTTCGTGAGCAGCTCAATGGCTCTGCAACGATTGGAAATCTGGTAGAGGAGTTACGCATGTATGACCCACAGACAATCCGTAATATGCTCAAACATGTGGAGCGCCATCTGCAAACATTCCTTACTGGCCGAGGCCTTGTGATTGCACTGACGAGGCACATATAGCGGAGACTGATTGTTTGCATGATAGATTGATCTCACCAAGCGCAATAACTAACAATGAAAACTTCCTCGACCGCAATGGCACGATACGTCTGGATCTTCGCCATGGGTTTCTCACCCCTCTATGTTCAGCACTAGGTGACATGCATGCAACACTGGTGGTGCTTGGAACAAGGTTGACACTCATGGATGCTAGTCATGTGTATTCAGCAATTGCCAAGCCAAATGTCCGGTTTGAGAAGATTACATCCTTCCCTTCATGTGATGAATCTCATGTGGAGGAGTTGTTGGGCCAAATAATTGATATATCAGATTGTGAAATCCAACCTGAAAAGAAACGACGGCTCAGTGGACGGTTCCGATTTGCAACTAGTGTTGCTGTCCAGATCTGCAATGGAAAATGCTCTGATACAAGTAAGCAAAAAAAGCTTGATGAAGCAATTGACAAAGCAATAAGCAAAGCAAAGGAAGATATATGAACCAGTGTACAAAGACTGCTATGGCCTAACAATGCAGTCACGATCAAGCATCTACTCAGCTGGATGGTTATAGCATACAAGCTGAAGGGTGGCAAGATAGCTTTTACACAGCAGGATGAATTTGACTTTGTGAACAGTGGTGTGTGTGCTCTGCGAGAGGACTCTGATGGTTATCACTGGGTTGTAGAAGAGCCACTAGTGATTGAAGTGCTTGAGGAGGAGCTGAGAGCTTCAGAATTTGACCCAGAAGTCCTTGCATATCTTGACCAATTCAATGCAATGCTCACCAATCTGGGGACAAACTCAGCAGCAAAAGGGGAGGCATTTGAACTGCTGGTGTATCGATCCTTGCAGCGCTTTAATGGCAAAGTTCTTGTGGATCTGCCTTTGTCAAGGATATCAAGGATCTTCCAGAATGGTGCAAAACTACAACATTGAATGTGAGAAAATTTGGTACAGCAAAAGAACTCGGATATGATGATGACAGTACATGGGGTGATGTCAAGTTTTTTGAGAAAACTCCTGGGGGAGAGTTACTGATCCCAAACAACCTCACACGGCCAGATGGGGCATTGCTATTGGAAGGTAAAGAACATGGTCTATCCCTCGCAATTAAGCTCTATTCACAACCTGTGAGTAATAGTAAGCATGAATTGAATGAGGGTTCCAGTAACCTACGAAACTGCTTCATGACATCTGAAAACAAAGTAAACTCACACATAAAAGACCAACGACGACGATTCACAAAGACTGCCTTCCATAAACTCAAGGGGATTTTGCACATTCACCTAGAATTTCCAAGAGTTTCTGGTGGGACACCACAAAGTTATGTGAATGGCCAAGATATCCTTGTTTACATTGATGGTGCAAATATGGATACATTCTTTGATGAGAGTATTGAAGAATATTCTCAGGATATGGATATCCTGAAGAAAATGTTGAAGCACATTTGGGAACAAAATGACAATAATATGGTAAGTTGAACTGTTTATCACATCATTTAAGGTTTATTGCATCATTGAGGCATTGTAACAATACTGGTTGACAATATACATATAGGATCTGCAACTCAGAGAACAAAGCAAGAGAGATTGAGGAAAAATCTGAAAGATTGCAAGAGACAAAAGAAAAAATTAGCAAGCAAGATTTATTAATTAGTAGACTCCAAAAGAATTAGTATTAGAAGAAAAGTCAGAAAGATTAGAGGATACTCATAGGAATAATGAAGGGCAAGAAGTTCAAATCAGAGAACTTGAAAAATCATATTATCATGCATTTAACCTCTCTACCTAGAAAGCCAAACAGAATAGATTTCACCAATTAGAAACCAAAATAAAAACAGGACATAGAATGTTGTGAATAAAAGTCCCCCGCGATAGTTATTTACATGAAATTTGATTTTTTGATATTAGAATGTCTTTATTAATCATGACCTCAACAGGAAAGTGTAAAGATAGACAATCAATTACTATTGAGACCAAAATTGAAATTATTAATAAAAAAGAAAAGGAACACAAAAGTGATACAGAATTGGCAAGAATTTACAATCTTGATCACTCAACTGTTAGTAATATTATTCGAAATAAGCAAAAAGTTCTCGATGCTTTTAAGCAAACTGGAGAAAGGGCTAGCAAGCATACTCGAATGCAAAAAGGTCAATTTGATATTGTTGAAAAAGCTGTTTACAAGTGGTTTCAATAGTGCATAGTAATAATGTTCCAGTTTCTCAAGATATACTCAAACAAAAGGCACAAGAGTATTATCAACAATTTGTTAATGCTGGAGTGGATTTGCCTGCAAATTTTGAAGCAGCTAATGGTTGGCTGAGAAGATTTCAAGAATGTTTTGGGATTGTGCAAAAGACAATATCAGGGGAAAGTTCATTAGTTAATATGTCAGTAGTAGAAAATGGTAGGCAACTGTCAAGACTTACGATTAGCATGACGTATTCCTCCGTGATTTCCGATGAGTTACATGAACATTTCTAAACCGCAGCATTCTCGTTTCACAGCCGATAGATTTCACCCGATGCGGACGGATTTGTTTTATTTAATTTAATCCTCATGTATTTATTAGCTTTAGAATATAGAACA